TGAAATTTAATAGGCCTTAATAACCGCCAACCAAGTATTTAAGAAAAACCAAATTTTAAAAAAAATGACAATACGTTATTCAACCTTCAAGATCAACAAAGCATTTATTCATACAGATAAAGTTTGTGATTTTAGATAGCTAAGTGTAATATAACAAAACATATCTAAGATTTATTCAGACTGATTTTTATTATTGGTCCAGTGCGGACGTATCTTATGAAAAATAATAGAACTCTGGTGGCAGGAGAGGTTTCTGCAAACTTGTAGGGACATTATCGTGTAATAGGAGTCTGTTGTTCTTGTTATCTCCTTGAGCGAGAGCGGTTATTATAAATACGACTTTTGTTACTTAGATCTTATTAGTCGACAGGCCTTATTACCCGCAGGTACCTTATTCTACTTACTTAAACATCTTCTTAGTTTACAAAGTTTAAGTTTCAGTATTTTGTGTTATTATAACTTAAAATATTTTAATTATAAAATACAAGTGTAGGTATTGTTGCGCGCCTGAGTTGACGTCATGTACCCGGCATTAGCGCCATCTAGTATCGGGAGCCAGAGCGAGGAGGGCTTCCTAGAAAATGTCAATTTTGACGCCTTGGCGCGCGTATTTACTTGAATATTCTGGACGTTTCGGTGAAAAATGTGTATTTAAAGGCACTGCAAGACGCGGTCGGGGCAGTATTGAATTTGGCGAGGCAAGCGAAGCTTCGGAGCGAAATAAAGTGAATCAGTGTGGTTAATTATTAGTGTTTTAAGTTTTAATTAGTGTAAAGTGAATTGAAGTTTAAATTTTGGTAATTCAATCGGCAGTTTTTATTGTCACGAACCTCAAGCTCGTAACAATTGGTGTCAGAAGTGGGATCAAATCATGCCGATTTTACCTAAGGAGGAAACGGAGGGTGTCCGTACCCGAAGTCAACGCCAGCAGGAGACGGACCAGAGAAGATTTGGTGGTGCAACGCCGCAGACGTCGGGGGGCCAATTGCCAACCACGGAGGCTGGCCCGTCAGCAGTTCCTACACCTGCAGCACTTGACTTAGGTGCTCTCATGATGATAATGCAGGAACAGGCACGCCAGCAGGCGGAACAGGCACGCCGATTGGAAGAGCAGCTGCGGGGCGGACAGGAGAAACAGGCCCGTTGGTTGAAAGAGCAGATGCTCCTCATGAAGGACCTTCACGCTACCTTCGGGAAGGAGATAAAGGAGGTGAAAGATAGGGTTGCTCAGCTTGACAACCGCCTGTCGGAAGCTGAAACCCAAATCGCGAAAGCTGAAACCGAAATCGAGAAAGCTGAAACCCGAATCGACCAAGTGAACAATCGGGTTGACAACGTAATTGCTGACATGAAGAAAACGCTGGACGACCTCAAACTGGGAGATGGAATTACAGCTCCCGTATTAGCTACAACATCTTCGCTACGTGGGTGCCGCCGTTCGACGGGACTTCTTCCTGGTCAGCCTACAAAATCCAGTTCGAGGCTGTCATGGAGGCGAACGGCTGGAATAAAAACCAGGCTATGACTGCACTTACCCTAGGCCTGCGCGACCAAGCCTTAACTGTGTTGGAAGCTCTCCGTAAGAAAGTGACCTATGAGCAGCTCCTTGAGGCATTGGAGGCGAGATATGGCGACGCTCACCTGGAACACGTCTTTCGTGCGCAGCTTAAAGATCGCGTAAAGAACGCAGCAACGAAAACCTGCAGCAGTGGGCTCTAGAGGTGGAGAAGCTGATGCGAAAAGCATACCGGTCTGTACCTGCGCTCATTGAAGGGAACCTGGTGCAGACTTTCATCGACGGCATCCGCGACCTTGAAGTCAGAGCTCCTGTGAGGCTCGGGCACCACGAGACGCTTAAGAACGCCTTGGCCCATGCACTGGAGGTGGAAGTCGTACTGCAGGATCGTCGTTCCAATCGCTTCAAGGAGGTTTCAGCAGCTACAGTTCGCGACCGCAATAATGGATACAGCCCTAGGTGCTATGGCTGTGGGGAAAGGGGCCATCTTCGATCCAGCTGCCCTAAGCGAACCGTAGAAAGGGAAGTTGATCAATCTCGAGAGAGTAGTGCAGTTGACGGCACCGCCTGGCGGCGGCAGGATCAACGTTCCCCTCACGCTAGGGAGGTTGCAGCAGTTACGGTTCGCGACCACAATAAAGGATACAGCCCTAGGTGCTATGGCTGTGGGGAAAGGGGCCATCTTCGATCCAGCTGCCCTAAGCGAAACCTAGAAAGGGAAGGTAAACGATCTCAGAAGGGAAGTGCGGCTAACATCACCGCCCAGTAGCAACAGGAATACGACTTTACTAACAGACATCGCAGCGGGAAATCTCATGGCAACGCAGATGCATTGTCAAGAAGACCTTGTCCTGAAGATTGCATACATTGTACTAGGCAAGAGAGTAAGGAAGTGGTATCCATGAGGATGCTCAGGACAGACCACCTCAGCAACGAGTGGAAGGACAGCCTACGACATGCACAGCAGGAAGATCCGGACATCAAGGCGATTGTTAAATGGATTAAGGCCCGTGCTACCAAACCTAAGTGGAGCGACGTCTCAGCTATGAGTTCGATCACTAGAAGCTATTGGACCCATTGGGACAGCTTGCTGATTCAGGATGGAGTCCTGTGCCGTAAATGGGACAATGGTGGAGGAGACAGCTGTCGTTTGCAAATGGTTGTCCCTAAAGCTAAAGTGCCGAATGTTCTACAGCTGCACTATAATGGTTGGAGTCCATCTGGGAGTTAAACGAACTCTACTGAAGATCCGAGAACAGTTTTTCTGGGTACATTATCGTGGGTCTGGGTCCATTAACAAGTTGTGCGGCTGTGAAGGGACCTCAGACACGTAGTAGAGGAGTATCGAAATTGTACAATGTTGATGCACCATGGGATAGGACAGCCCTTGACATTGCGGAGCCGTTACAGAAAGGCGCAAGAGGGACTCCTAAGATCGTCCATGTGGATCGCCTGGCGCATTATTATGGGGCCGATAATGCTCGGGACGAGCATGTCTCAGGAGGGGGCAGTGTTGCGTGCCTGAGTTATCGTCATGTCACCCGGCACTAGCGCCATCTAGTGTCGGAAACCAGAGCGAGGAGGGCTTCCTAGAAAATGTCAATATTTTAACCAACAGCGCCATCTAGTATCGAATTGAAGAACTATGCTTTCTAGTAGCCTCACATTCGAACTTTCTGCGTCTGGTCGGTCGGCGCCCGTATCTTCGGGCGCCGATCGGGAATATTCTGGATGTTTTGGTGTAAAAGTGTATTTAAACCCGCTGCATACCACGATCGGGGCAGTATTGATTTTGGCGAGACAAGCGAAGCTTCGGAGCGAAATAAAGTGAATCAGTGTGGTTAATTATGAGTATTTTAAGTTTTAATTAGTGTAAAGTGAATTAAATTGTAAATATTGGTAATTCATTTGGCAGTTTTTATTGTCACGAACCTCAAGCTCGTAACAGTATGTATGTAAATAAATACTTGGATAGTGAAGTAAATTTTAACAAATTTTTGTAATAAAGTACTTAGGTATTTGTTCTGTAGACCAAATTATTACTTAATTCTTTTTTGCTATAAGTACCTATCTAACAAAAAAAAAATTAAATAAATTCACCTTTCATAATTTCCTTCTAAAATTCTTCGGTAACTTAAAGAATGATATGAAACCTTTTGTTGGTCATTTCAATTAGTATCCATCCACGCAACAGTTATAGTAGGAACGACGTTTTGTTATTATAATTTATCAAATAGGTAATATACATAAAATATCATTTTTAAAATACATTAACTTTTACAACTATTTTACCTACAATTAAATATACTAAACACTAAACAAAAACTATTTCAACAAGTATTTACATAAAACTATTTACGTAAACAGCGTTAAAAAACTTTGACATTGAATCGCCTACAATGCACTAGCCCCGACTGCGTATAACGCCCAGGGCGCCTCGCGATTTTAGGTAATTATTTCACGCAGGTAGCAAGAGTGACAGAGGCCTGATCATATGAATTTGAGTGGCTGTCGTCATCAACTGTTCGGTGTCCGCTGGATTGAGCTGTCATCAAAATCTCCCAAAAACTTCGCAATGTGACGCATCAGCATATTGTGAAGAAAAAATATATAAAAACGAAGATTCCGAAAGAAATGATAGGCTAAGAAGGGCTAGAACCCAGAGCCGTAAAACCAGTTAAATAAAAAAAAAACAAAAAAAAAATGGTGTGTACCGTAGACAGAGAAATTCTCTGCCGTAGACAGAGAATGCTAGGATTACGTTAGTACTCTTATTAGTTTGTGGCTAGGATTCTCTGTCTACGTTCTCTGTCTACCGTAGACAGAGAAACCTATAGACTAATGATCGGCGTGACATCGAGTGAGAAAGGACGATAACGAATTTTTAGGTTATACAATAATCTTTATGACTTTGAAACACATTTATATAAAAATTTTAATTATTCTAAGAACTGAACTGAACAAGATTCACCAATCTTAAGCTCTCAAAACACTTTTTTCTCACTTAAACCAACTTGTAAACTCCTTAAATCACTACGTTGTTAAAGTTGTTTAGCAAACTGTAGAGTTTGCTAAACAAAAAAACCGGCACGGAGAAAGGGACAAACAATCACACCGCTCTATCTCATTTCTATGCAAGACGTATGCATAAATCTATATTTTTTGTGTGCGGATGCGAAAGAAGGCGTCAATTTGTCTATAGGTTTCTCTGTCTACGCTGTCTACGGTGTGTACGGTAACTTTCTGTATATATTACTCTACTCTATGACGGTAACCATAGATTACTGTATATAAATATTTACTAGACGGTAACGTTAGCTTGCTACATATTTATTTATCTATGGTAACGGTACGGAATTGTAAACTTGTGAAAAAATAAACACGAAAGTGATGGATTAAATACTCAAAGATTATATTACATTTTTGATAATCACTACGTTATCTATCTAAAACCTACTTCATAAAAGAAACTAAAAAAAACAGTATGTCTTTGAAAAGCTTTGAAAATAATTTTGAGAATTTCTCTGATGAAGTTATCCGTGAGCATCTCAATGATCGACAAAACGGGGTTAGGTATTTTCTTTATTATTTTAAGCAAGATCGAATTATACAGATAGATGTGATGGAATATCTGTAAGCTACAGATACGTGAATAGACGAATGTAAGCATTTTACTGCACAAAAATGATGATGTGTCCTTTTTGTATATGTAGTGCTGGTGTAAGAATATCTACTACTTAATCTCCCGTGAATGTTGTAAGGGTAGACAGAGGATATCAAACCAGAAACTACCACATGGCCCAAGCACCTGCCTGGGAATTTACCATTGTCAATTATACGAATGTCCAGGGTTGCATCATGAAAGGATCGGCTCGACCGGTTTAGAACCACACTCTCACAGAATACCAGCGTAAAATAGTAGTTTCATGCTGCTGTGTTTCGCATGGTGAGTGTAGAGAACCGGAGACTTTTTACTGGAAGCGAGGCATTCCGTCTGTATTTTGATTCTTAATTGAAAATAAATGTAGATGTCTAAGGGCCACAGGATCCACCTCCCATCACATGGACTGTGTGCTTGTTTGTCACCCTTATTCTATAAAAAAAGATATTCCACGAATTTATTTTTACAGGACCATTTGTTGGCTTTATAAATAGATAATTTGTTGTGTAATTTATTATACAAATACATTCCTAAAAAGTGATGTGTCTTGCAAAAAGTGTGTTGAAAGATACTGACTGAGCTAACATGATTACAGCGATTTTCCTTTTCAGTTATCTAAGTAATTATGTGTTATATGAAAACTCTATGTAGCACAAATAACTGCTGAATAGTAAGAACTTAGCCAATTTTATATAGATCTAAAGTCATATAAAGATGAGGTTTAAAATGGATAACTTTTAAAAGTGATCTTTCTACCATTCTAGTTAAATAAGATGTGTTTTGGCAGCACAACCTCAGTCTTCAATCCCATATATTAATAATTAAGACAATTTTAGGACTTCTCTATTAGCAGCATGCTACAGTTTTTTAAATATTAAAGTTAATTTATGAACTACCACATAGTGATTTAATATTAGAGTGGAATGTTAAGGAGCTTTTTTTTTTAGTTTTATTATCCCGACATTTCGAGTGCTTTACAGCACCCATGGTCTAGTGAATATTAATTTTTGGTCTGATTTATGCAAAATGAGCTTATAGTATCATGAAGTCTTGCAGTGGTATGCTTGGGTTTATGTTATTTTTTTTAATTATAGGGATTCCAAGCAGATGGCAGCACCCATCCATCTTCTCTATTGAAATTCGGATGTTTTTCTAATTTCAATAGCCTCGCGTATCATCCTTAGTAGGAATTGGTGTTCTTTTGTGAGAATTTGTGGTTTATCAAATCTAATTTAGTGGTGTGGACGATCTTGGAACATGTTCACAGACTGCAGACTTCCTGGAGCATCGGTGATTCATGTCAGCTAATTGTTCCTTCACATGGGTTTTTATAGATCTTTTAGTTTGACCTATACAAGAGAGACCACATTCACAATCTAGCTTGTACACACCAGCATCTTGTAGAGGCATATTACATTTGATGGATGGTAAAAATTTACTAATCTTCTTTGGTGGCTTGTAGTATGTTTTAATGGAAGCTCGTTTCAAGATGTAGCCAATCTTGTCTGTGACTCCTCTAACATACGGTAGTACAACAGGCGTGCGCTCGACTGTAGCTGGCTTCACTCGTTCACTGTGACATAGGGTGCGGGACCCGAAGCTTGTTGTTTTGCAATACTTGCTAAAGCTCGGCAGCCAGATGTTTTCTGTTACAGATCCCTCGTACTCTCTGAAACAAAGATTTACCCATGGTAGCTAACTGTGAAGGATAATGGTGAGATTCACCATATTAGTAATTAAATGCGATAAAATTCGTAAATTTAATGTGTAGTGTTCGTATAAATTTAAGGAATCATTATTATACTGAGATATTTAATACGGTTAGTCTTCTCCAAAATGTGACAGAAACATTAGGAGGTGTTAGAAATGATACAGTGAGCAATGATTTTTGCATGTCTCCAGGTAAGATACAGAGAGCAAAACTCATATATTTAGTTTTCTTACACTTTAGAGTTAGCAACTTTGCGATAAGCCAAGCTTTGAAAAAGAAGAGATTGCCGGAAAACATTCTCCCAAGTGTTTCCAAAGAAAAAGAGCTCTGTGTCATCAGCAAATGTAATATAACCTTAAACTTCACATCTTGCGTTTGTGAAGATTATGGTCACTCAAATCATTAATGAGGAACATAAAGAGAGGAGAATCAGAGCTGATGACATTATTTGACAATTGACACATTGAGGATAGCTGAAAATAATGTAAGTTGATGGTCTCGCATGCCAATATTCTCATGTTTTTGTAGCAAGAGTAGGATTGAAATGGTGTTAAAAGCTTTCTCTAGATTGAAGAATTTGATCATAAATTGTTTTGCTCAAGGTAGTTCACCAGTCTAAAATTTATGTTTTTTTTTTAATAACCTTAGAGATCGAGGGCAGAATTAGTATAGGGCGATAGTTATTAGGTATATTTCGGTCGCCATTTTGGTGAATTGGATGTACCACGGGAAAACACCCGCCGTCAAACCCAAGTTGATAATAAGGTCATAGGACACACAAGCATGTTTTTATGCTTTATCTGTAGACCATGGGAGATGCCTTCCCACCAACAGCTTTATCCGATTTCAAAACCATGATAATCCTTTCGGCTTCTTCTTCATCTTTTTTTAAAAAACGAAAGAGATTTCATTTAAATGAAACACTTGAGCATTATATAATATTGCTTATTTAATGTTTTGTAATAATTATTATACTAGGTACTTGTAAAGAAGGCGCGCAGTTTTAAGGGTAGCAGTGCGCAATTTGTATTTGGAACTTAAAAGGCTTAGCTTTGGGTGTCAATTGCAACTTAAAAAACTCATGCTATTTTAACGGGTAAGGTGGGCTCGTCCGAGGCGTGTATAGGTCGTGCCACGTAAGATGAAATTAAATAGAGTCCACTGCACATGTACAATCAAGCAGAAAAACGAAAATTTTATAATGGCATTTTAATATGTAAAAAGTCAAAGGTCAACATTATAACTACACATCAAAGTCTCCACGAAAACTGAACGATATATTTATATATCATCGTTAGGTTTTAACTGCTTCTAAATAATATTCTGCATTTTATGTACACTTAGTTAAAGAAATAAAATATTTTGTATTTGTATTTTTGTATTTGTAATTGCTGTTTAAACTATACTATGTTATAGCCTTCGATTATAAGGATATTTTACATGCAATAATGTGCAAAAAAATCATCTTGTAGAAAATAACAAAATTTTTACAACTTTATACAATAAACTACGAATTACGCTATTTTAAATAGTCCCAAAATAATTTATAAAGTAATAAATATTTGCACACTATTTGAAAATATTATGGAACAATATTTTTAAAAGTACAAAAATAATCGCAAAAATTTAAAATTTTATAACAGGTAGTCGCTAACACTTTCGATATCGATAATACACAAGACGACACAAGAAGGTGCACGGGCGACGGGACGCAGGAAGAACTACTTGGGAGTAGCGCGTCGCCCGTTGCTATGGTTTCGCTTCCCCGTACCTCATACCTCACCGTGCCGACACCTCGCGCCACCAGCACATGTTACCGTTCTTACGGCGCGGGACGTCACCTTGACAGACCAAGACACGCGAAATTCATTAAGCTGGTTCTTTTTCGTACAAAATTAAACTAATTTTACGGATTTTATCGCATTTAATTTTCACTTTTTAATCTCCACCTTTAGCACCCATTGTCACGGGGTGGGGGCTCGTTGAGGTCTTAAACGTCTAGAACCACTACCTCCACACGGCGCATAAGCGCAAATTATGCGCCAGTCAGCGTCCGCAGTTCGCGTCGCTTTGAACCACTGTCTACACACAACACGTAGCCACGAATTTGTGCTATTTGTCACATCCAAATTTTACACAAGTTTCCAAATTTTAAAATTGGATATATAAACAATGATATACCGTTATCTCTATTTTTTAAAATACGGCTATTATATATATATATATATATATATATATATATATATATATATATATATATATATATATATATATATATATATATATATATATATATAATAAGGCTTCTACTTTTAGTTGAAATTATCCCAATTGAAATGAATGTGGTTAAGGGGAAATATAACCTCAAATGGCTTAGCAAGATCCTCCGTTATGCCGAAAATATTGCAGCATTAATTTTGAAATAAATATATGGTAAAGTTGAGGATTAGCCCCTGAGCTACCACGGCTCCGAGACATAGAGACTCAGTATAATTACTGGTTGTGAGGCATTCCATCATACTCCTTAGAGGTAACAAGGTCATTCTTGATTATTTAAAGTCGGTTGCAGGGATCAATGAGCACCAGTGGCCACTTACCACAGAGTTGACTGTATGTTCGTTTGTTACTTTTTTAACAAAAGTTATCCGAACTCATAAGTAAAAATAAATAAACATACTTGACTTATCCCGGTCAATATCTTGTACATGACATCTTCAGTTGTTTGACGCTTTTAGACCAAAGTATGGAAAGCTCAAGAGTCAAAAATCTGAAAGCCCTTGCTCTCGCCACAACGTATTGACTCAAGTTCCAAAAAGTTAAATTCACATGACTGTCAAACCTAAAAATAGTTTTTGGGGTATGCGTACGATATCTCTTAAGGGGCATAAGAGAGATTTCAGGATTCAGGACGACCACTACTCAATAACGCATCGAAGTTCGTCCATTGATCATACTACTGCGCTCACGATGTTTTATTTCTGATGACGGTCATTAACCGGTTAATGTTAAGGACTATGTTAGACGAAAACACGATTCCGTAAAAATTTCTCGATAGAAAAAAAATCCAAAGTTGTCTCCAAACTGAATAATAAACCGCTGTTATTCATAAAACACTTTAAATACGATCATGAAACTTTGCATACTAACTGAACTAACTATAACCATACCATTATTTTCACTGTAAAAAGAAATTACCTAAACTATCGGCGTCTTGAAGCTTGATTCCTGCCGCCTGGTTAGTATTCCCTCGGCTTTTGAAAGGGGAAGTTGTGTCGCTTACGATCAGAATACACATTACGCAACAGGACGACGTAAAATTAAAATGGGAAATAACCGTATTAAAAATAAGAAGCGACTGGGTTGGCGTTAAGAAACAGGCATAAATATGGTAAACCTATATATAATGAAATAAGCATCTAACGACCTATCTACTTACAGTATTAGTGATTACAAACATGTCGGTACATAGCATAAGACGCGCGGGGAAGTGGGGGCGAAATTAGAATTTGAGCTGACTTGCTATATCCCCTTAATGGGCAACAATTACGCGTACGCACGCTCTGTGTGCGATTTAATTCACAACGTTTTTGTTGACCGAACGACCCTCACGAACGTGTGCGTGCGTAGTAAAATAGGTAGGCGTTGGTATTTATCACGCATTCTGAATTTAAAAGATAAAAAGGACAGAATGATTGAGATGTTTTTGATCAATTTTTCTTTTTATATTACTTATTCTGAACCTTCCCTGCAAATTTGGGCGTATATTGTAAAATAACTATGTACTTATGCATAACAATAACCAGTTAACATTTGAAGTGTACCATTAATGCCATTACCTATGGCGGTAACATTTTTTCACTGGGAGTAGCATGAGATCAACTACGAAAATGGTTTTATTTTTCACTAAATATTTAGTAGATTTCTTCTTTATTCTGAGAGATTTATGAACGTTCATGGATCTCTCAAAAATTGTTATGTCTGAACAGTACGGAAGACTCATTAGTACTAATTCATTGGTAAATGTAATATAATATTAAGTTCATTGGTCATAAATTATTATTTATAGATCTCCAAGAGGTATATCGAAGTGTTGCAAAATTTTATAAAGGAGAAGTTAAATCTTCTGACATCAAAAATGCAACTGGATATTTTTAATAATGGCACAGTGTACACAGGTTCAGCAGGCTTGGGGCTGTACTACTTTATGCGCCATATAAAGAAGAATAAACCAGAAAATGGAGATTTAAAGGTTTGTTTAAAGCAGTGGTTTTTTTTTAAATATATTTGAGTATTATGTACCTCTAAGTATTACCTTTGCTTTCATATTTTGAATCCTCTGTAACTTTACAGAAACTTATCTCTGTAAAAATTATTTTATTAAGTATTCTAATGTGAAGGTAATATTGTGGCAAATCTTGATCAACATATATGACAATGAACACCATATCAATTAAGGGATTGGTACAATTTTATTTTACTCATATGTAGGACACTCAATAGGTTTTGAGATATACAAAAAGTATTCTAGATACTATTAATATTTATTTTACATCTTTTCAAAATATTCACCATAAATCATCGCCTCTCCATAAAAAACGCCTAAACCAACTCTGAAAACACTTTTGCCAGTCTCAATCTGACAGGTCGGAAATCGCTACTTCGTAGGCAGCCACGCCTTCTTCGGCGCTTGAAAAAACTTGCACCAATTCACAAGAATCTGTTTTTCGCTTTTGGAGAGCAAACGAGGCATCCATCGACAACAAAGCTTCCTCACTCCAAGAAGTTGATGTAGGATGGTATGAATGCTCCCCGAACTAATGCCTGTCATCTTTTCGATGTCCGTATACGAGTATGTGATACGTGGGTCTTCTCGCACCAACATTTCAGTAGTCCATACATTTTCTGCCGTTACTGCTGTTTGCGGGGCCCCGGTTCTTTGGTCATCTTTAAGGTTAATTTTACCCCTTTGAATTCAGCAAATCACCTAAAAATTGTTGCGCGTGATGGAGCTGAGTCCCTTAATGCTGATTGTAACCATTGTAAACTTAATACTACGGTTAAAACAAATTTAAAATTATAATAGATCATAACGCGCAAATGTTCACGGTTAAGATCCATCGTTTTACGAGGAGCACACTGAAATGATCGGGAATAAGAAAAACCACATGTACGGTATAGCTAAATTGTATTTTATTGTTTTTCGAAGTAACTTTAAAAGTAAACTTTTAAAGTTCTCCGTTCAACTTAATGCAATTTTCCATTCGTGCAAACCAATCATTAAAACAGTAATTCCAGTCTGAAGTTGATGTTGACAAAATGGCTGATTTGTACGCTTCCACAGCTGTTTCGGGGTCTTCAAACCGTTGACAGCGTAATAAATCTTTCATTCTAGAGAATTTAAAGAAATCGTTTGGGCTCAGGTCAGGACTGTATGGAGGATGGCTCATCAGCTCAACGTTTTCCTGCTTCAAAAAATAATTTGTCTTCCGAGCCGTATTGCATTATCGTGATGTAAGATGATGCGACGTTTCGGGTTATTTTTTCGGAGTTCGGCTATCATTTCTGGCAAACAAAACGTGATATACCACTCAGCGGTAACCGTTCTGCGTTCCTGTAAAGGAATTGTAGCATCATGCCCCTTTTTCGAGACAAACGTAGCGACCATTTTGTTTGACGCGCTGCGGGAGCGAACCACTTTCGTTGGTTTGACCTCGTCTTCGGAGACCCAAACTGCTGACTGATGTTTTCTTTCAGGTTCGTATGAATAAATCCATGAGTCGACACCTGAGACGATATTATAAACGGTTGAAGCGTTGCAGAGTATTCCGGCACCAATCTACACGAGCCGCCATTTGCTCTTCGGACAAATTGTGGGGAACCCAGCGGGAAACTAGCTTTCTTACACACTGCTCATTATGTAATATCGACTGAATTGCAGTCATTCCGATACTGATACCAGCCCGAATCTGGTCGTATGTCTCATGACGGTCATCTAATACAATAGTTCGCATAGCCGCGATGTTTTCAGGCGTGACCGCTGTTCTTGGTCGACCTGCAGAAGAAACAGTGCTGAGCGACACACGACCGCGTCGGAACTCTGCTTACCAGCGGTATATTGTCGTTTGACTCGGTGCTTCAACATCATAAATCGAAACAAATTCGCTGAGACATTTATCTTGAGATAAGCCCGCGACGAAAATTGTGATAAATGATGGCACGGAAATGTTCACGCGTGAGCTCCATTTCTGTTAACGACGTGTCAACTTTAAACCAACATAGTTTTTGTTTTTAAATATTTTTAATTGTTTGAATGTCAACTAAGGGGCCAGTATTCAAATTCTAAAAAAGGTTTTATTGTAACTCAATCCGAAATATTCTATTCCCGGTCATTTCAGTGTGCCCCTCCGTAAATAAAAAGTGCGGGAAGCGTTGCAGGAAAATTGATAGAAATTTGTTTTTTTTTTTTTAATATTGAGCAATTGGCTTATAAAGTTCTATTTTTAAATATAATTGCTTTTTAGAAACATATAACACGGGTGATTTCCATTTTTAAATTTCGAGCATTTCAAAACTTATTGAGTGACCTACGTAAATAATGTGGGTCAGTTAAAATTGTAGATACTCTTCCCTAATAATTGTCTTAAAATGGCCAAAACGGTGGAGTTACCAAGACTCTTGTCTGTATGTAATATAGCAGCTGAATGAATTATATTTTATAAATGTACGTAAAAGACAAAGTGCACAACTGATGTTAAGTGGACGCTGTGTGTATGATGTGTTATAACTTCGACGGAATGCCAGTAAAATGGGTCTACGGTTTTCTACATTTACTACAAAACACCTGCAACATTATACTATTTTATCGCTGGTGTTTTCAGCAAACGTGGCTAATCACACATTGTGGGTGTGCCAAATTATGGATATTTTCTTCACATTATGCTCTCTGCGAGACGAGGCTCTGGTTGCTGAAAAATGGTAGTATAATAATATTGTTCTCCTGGAGGAATTTTGATCACGGCGGCCAGTCTAAACGGAGATGAGCCATCTCTACGCAGGACTGGATCGTAGTGCCCAAGTGTATGCGCAAGCACAAGTGCACTCTCTAATCCCTAACTCTCATAATCCGTTGGGACGGTATTCCGATACGACCGGAGAGAGATCGGACGCAGGACTAACTACTACTTGATTTCACAGTCACAGGCTAATGAGAATTTCTTGACAGAAAACCCAATAATTTATTCAATCCCGACTCAGGATCACAGATTAGCAGTCGCGTTTACCAAATCTAGACCAACAAGGCAGTCAAAGTCTCCCAAGTGGCAGTATAACGTCCATTTAAAAGGTTATGTCGGATCTACACTCACTAACACGCCTCTCTAAAATAATAGTTTCAAAAGAAGAGAAAGACAATAATAACTTCTTTTCTTGTTTTTTTTTTAAATACGTTACCTCCACACTAGGATTTCCTCGTGTATGGGGGGGAGGGCAGTTTACAAACATAAATTTCACACGGACAAACATGCAGATCCGGTACAATTACTTGTAGGCCATGCAAATACTTGTTCCGTGCGGGATTCGAACCCGTGGCCCTTAGCGCTGTAACTCATTGATTGCTAAGACACTGCGCTACGGAGCCGTCAATAACGCAGTGAAGGTAGATTAAAATGGACACTATAATAACGTTCCACCTTCGCTGCATAGCGAGCACTGAGTACTCTATAGCACAAACCTTCCCTGCCGGAGCTCCACCGCCGACCATATTTTGCCACATCTTAATACTGATATTCACGTCCCGTGATACTGTCACCGCCGTATCCACGATGATGATAAATTGGGACGGCGAAATGTATCTTGTCTGTATGATCTATTCGTAGCTGAGTATACCTAGTTGTGGGTGTTATTCAAAATCCTGATTTGGAGCTAAAATAAAATATTGGTGCAATAACCATTTTTTTTTCAAATGCCAATAACAGTGTTTGACCATTCAAAATCTTTTATATTTTGTGAATATAGTACTGCTTATTATTACTATGCTTGCGAGAGACTTCTTGGAGTCAATTTATAAATTAATAGGTAATGTTTGCATACACACATACGCGCGGGCGCGTGTGCGCGTCACACGCACACACACACACACACACACACACACACGGTAAAAAGGGAATCACTTATTTACTTTAATCATAGCTTTAAAAAAATGTTTAACAAAAAAGCAGAGTTAAAATTAAAAAATTGTAAAATTGTATGGAAAGGTATTGATATCCTAAGTTACAGGATTTATCGTAGTTTAGGAATCAGTGCAACGTTTGTTTTGTAACTTCTTAAATTTTTAATAAAGATTATTATTATTATTATGGGGTATCTATATAGTTTTCTCATCTGGTTGGGTTCTATAAATATATAATTATAAATGAAAATGAAAAAATAAATATACATAAATATCAATAACATAAAATAAATATAAAAGTACATAAATAAATAAAAGCCCAACCAGATGGAGGCCCTCGGCAGGGGAGACCAAACGGCCGAGGGTTAGGGGGGAAAGGGAAAGAAACCGGCGGACGATGCGGGCGGTATCGAGGAGCACCGCCTTCTGCATTTGAACCTGGAGCGGTCCGCCACGTAGTCCCAGCCGCCTCAGATGACCCGAGAGGCTGACTGGGATTAGCCCGTTTGCAGAGACGACTACAGGAATAATTTCGGTCGGCAGACCACCCCACATGTCGGTCACCTCGTGAGCCAGGTCCAGATATTTTGTTTGCTTGTCTGTTTCGGCTTTCACGAGGTTCTCGTCATACGGAATGGTAATGTCGACCAAAAATATCCTTGACTGTGCCCGGTCCATCAGCACAATATCAGGCTTATTCGCAAGAATAGTCCTGTCTGTGATGATGGCCCGGTCCCAATAGAGCCTGGCGCGATCATTTTCGAGCACGGCTTCCGGCAAGTACTTGTAGTACGGCAATTTCCGGTCCACGAGACCGTATTTCAGAGCGAGCTCCTGGTGTAGAATTCTGGCTACTAGGTTGTGCCTGTGCAAGTACTCAGAGTTAGAAAGCGCCGAACAACCGGAGATAACATGCCTAAGTGACTCACCGGGATGGCGACAAGCTCGACAGATGTCGACGGTGCCATCCTTTAGGATGTATCTCCGATAGTTGTTGGTCTTAATAACCTGATCGTGTATTGCACAGACAAAACCCTCGGTTTCCCCGAAGAGATCACCAAAGCGTAGCCAGTGGAGGGAGGCTACTGTGTCTACGAAAGGCTCATGTAGAGCCTTGTAGAACCTCCCGTGGAGCTCCTTCTCCTTCCATACGGTCTCTCGGTCGGAAATGCTCTGCACTGCCGGGTCTTGCCATTGCTCGTTGGCTAAGGATAGAGGAGTAAGTCCTTTATCACAAGAAATGACGTCCATATAGAATGGATCATCCGATCTCGCCAGGAAGTAATCACGGAGGCTGCACACTTCGCGATTATGCATGGTGAGCGCGCTCAAGAAGCCACGACCACCATGCTTCCGCGACAAGTACAACCTCATTACCGACGATCTCGGATGATGCATCCTATGGGACGTCATGGTAGTGCGGACTTTTCTATCCAGGGCGTTAAGTTCAGTCTGAGTCCACCTGAGTATGCCAAAGGTATACATGAGGACAGGCATGACCCAGCCGTTATATGCGTGTGCCTTATTCACACCGGACAAAAGGCTGTTAAGCACTTTGGTCAAGCGTGCATAAAACACGTCGCAAACTGACTGTTTCATACCAGCCTCATCGATACCGATGTTCTGTGACATACCCAGGTATCGGTATGTTTCAGCCTCGGAAAGGGCCCTTAAGTTGACGGGCATAGATAAGTCTACGCCCTCAGAGTTAGCAACCCTTCCCCTTTCAACATGGAGGACCGCACACTTATCCGTCCCAAGCTCCATTCCAATGGAATTGCTAAATTCACAAGTGATGTTTAGCAATTCCATAAGATGGGAGCGACTGGAGGCGAATAACTTGAGGTCATCCATATAGAAAAGGTGGGTCACTTTTGTCCCTCCTCTCCGTAGCTGAAATCCCCTCCCGGAGCCCTCCAGTAAGGTACTGAGAGGGTTCAGAGAGAGGCAGAACCAGATTGGACTCAGACAATCGCCCTGGAAGATACCCCTTCTTATCCTTATGTGGTTCTCCGCAGCCATCATCCGCTCGCCCAGATGACAAAGGATCGTACTCCACTGCTCCATACACTGCTCAAGGAAGTCTCTAACTGTACAGTCTATCTTGTACAGCTCGAGGACTCTCTTTAGCCATGTATGGGGCACCGAGTCGAATGCCTTTCTGTAGTCTATCCAGGCGGCGGAGAAGTTCCGACGGTTGCGTTTCACCACTTTGCCAATGACCGCGTCAATGAGGAGTGGTTCCTTGGTTCCACGACCACCGCCCCGACATCCATTTTGAGCGCGCGACATCACCTGATTTGAGTCCAGGTGACAAGTGATTCTCGCGCTCAAAATGGATGTTAGTGTCTTGTATATGGTCGGTAGACACGTGATGGGGCGGTATTTGCTCGGGTCTGTGGTACCCTGGTCTTTAGGAACCAAATGAGTGATCCCAGTAGTGAAGAGGCTTGGGAGCGACTTCTGGTTGAGAGCCTCTTGAAACTGTCGGGCAAGCACAGAGTGACACACCATGAACCCCTTCAGCCAGTAGTGATGCAGCCCGTCAAGCCCCGGACTTTTCCAGTTCGGGGCCTTACGGACCGCCTCAGCTACGTCATCCGGCGTTATGATGACGGGGTCCATGGGCGTAATACCCGCACACTGACTCGCCACAACTTCCGTCCAAGGGCCCTCGCTGTGGTTTACGGGCTCTGACCACAGGCCGCGCCAGAATGCTACAGTGTCGGCCTGATTCGGTGCTGGACCCGTTCCACTTACCATTGGTCGCTCCAATGATTCATAGAGCCTCTTCTGATCACTCTGGAAGAGACGATTCTGGTTGAACCGTGTCGACCTCTCGGTATATCGCCGAATCCGTTTTCCCCAAGCAGCGATTCTCTGCTTCAGATCATCTATGCGCTCCGTCAGTTTTTGCGTTATATCCGGCTGGGAAAAACTGACATTTGTCCCAGCAAACGCCATCCTGACGGTGCGCACAATTCTTGGCCTGTTGTTGCCTGATCTGAAGCATATCAGTCTGCCGATGAGAGCTCTAGCCTTTGCGATACGTTCCTCAATTCTTCTTCTCCATGCTGGGATAGCGCTACTATGGCCAGTAGCGCGTCCAGCCGTGGAAACCTTGGCGCCTATGATACGGCAGACTGCCAGCGCGGCGCCAAAAAGAATTGAGTGCGTCTCGCAAAGGTCCCGGCTGGCTTCCAAATAGGTCACCAGCATTGGGTTTAGAGCCCTCACGACAGCCCGATTCCGCTTGCTTAGGGCTATGCGGGGAAGTCGCGGTCGATTTTCGAGAGGCGTACTGCGCGTTTCCACAATCGCCTCTTCCAATGTACTCCTCATATGCTCTAATTCCAGTTCCTGGGCGACTGTTCCATCATCGTTTGAATCAACCACAACTGGGGTATTCACGGCGGCATCCACGTTTGCGGGTTGCTCTACCATTTGTGGCGCCGCATCCTCAGCCGTAGCATTCTCATCCGACGAGGGAACAGCCTCACGTCGTAGCCGTTCGAGTTCGGTGACATCAAATATATTTGAGCGATATACCGAACTCGGTCTACCAGGTTTTGCTCTGTGACGGTTAAAGATGCCTCCAGCTCAGCAAAAAGACGATGCATCCTAGCCCGATACGCCAAACATCCAGTTTCTCCCCCTTTCGCCCCAAAATACGCCCGCAATGCGTTGCTGTTCATCTGGGTTGTCCAACGCATGCGGCGTACTCCACCAGAGGCGGGTGCCGATTGCTGGGCCCGCGAAGACCCTGCCGACACCAAGCCAGCTGGTGGGGATGATGGATGCGAGGGGCTGCTGGGTGGTCGTGCAGCACCTCGCGCTCGGCTGGCGGTTCGCATGCTGCCGCGTCCAGCGCCAGCTCCAGACGCGCCCTGGCGACCTCCAGGCAGCGGCCCTTTGCGCGTTCTTCCGTATTCCATCATCCATAGTGGTGGGCGTCATTTAGCGGGAGACGCCCAGACCCGGCGCCGTTTCATGGTGAGGCCATGTGCACAAGCGGGCCTTTGCACCTTCAATTTTTGCCGAGGCACGGCACTAACACCTCTTGGCAAGGTGCTGACTGACTGCGCTGACGTAGCGGTTTTGTCACATAACCGTTACGTCAGCGGGCGATGGGGTCGTCACTTCCCTACGCCTTATTATTATTATTATTATTATTATTATTTTACAGATTGTATTGGAGTATTTAGATTTGAAAAATCTGAAAGGACGACGCATCAGCTTTCTTTGTGGAGACGCCGGACCACTTGCGCTAGCAACCATTGTTTCATACAAGTTGGGCACTAGTCGCCCAGCGAACCTTCCTGATTACAAAGCATTCGCACAAAGGTTTTTATTATTTAAGTTTATAAAATAAGGTAATTCTATATCTAAAATTAGATGTGGATTGCAGTGTTTAGTGGTATTAATTAGCAACGGGTAATGTAATCGATCAGCAACAAAGTCCTTTAAAAAAAACGACGTGATTAATTCAGCTTTTTTAAAACAACAAAACTGTTTTTATTTTAAATCAGTTGGATTACAAGAAAGCATACATTTGACCTTGTTAATTAATGGTGACGGACGAGCATAGAATACTATTATTCATACATAATAGAACGGGGTAGTGGGCGGAGTCCGTGTAGCCACTAAAATGTCACTAACATGTAAATTCACATGTATAAATGTCAACACGAGATGTGTGTTGACGTTAAAATCGTTTCCAAATTTCGCATGCAAATTATTTAGAAATTGCCATATTACACGATTTACAAATAAATATGTATTAAAACTTAAACGATTTTTAATGATGATCTTGAACATTAATCAAAGGTCTAAAATGTGTAAATTTACTCATTGTCAATACAGCGAATCGGGTTTGTAGTAGCGATAATACGACGTAACTGCTTGTATGCGTGCACCCGCCGACGCCGACATTCGTACAAAATAAGGTTGACAGCCATTCTATTGTGTATTATGGTATTCTATGCAGACGACCGCATAGTCCATATTTGTCATATATTTATCATCGAGAATAAAAATGCAGATGCGTTGCCACCTCAATGACTATGATATAGTGCCTCGTCACCATTAAAAAGGGATTCCGGTTCCGAACATCCACCATACATAAATTTTAATTTATTTGCATCTGATTAAAGTTTAAGAAAACCATATGAAGTTGAAATTAGAATCATCACTAATATTAACCTAAAATAATTCACTACTGGGCAAAATCCTTTACGACACATTGCGAGGTTATCAGCGAGGTGTAAAATTCTTAATGTAATTGTTTTTACAAAATTATGCATTATCACAAGTTTTATTATAATATATTCAAACTTTGGGTAAGTTGTCAGATTCTTTTGTTTAGGTTACTGGATCTCATTTCATTGCTTAAAGAGTCACCAGATGAACTTCTTTATGGAGGAGCCGGATATCTTTACGCTCTGTTATTTGTAAACAAATATATTCGTGAAACCGATGTCATACCTTCCCTACCGAAACACATAGAAAAGGTAAAACATTAACTGTTAAAGTATAAATAATGAGATTTTTAAAGAATATTTGTATTCAAAATCTACAAAGCGTACGAATCTATTGACAAAGCGACAAAACGTTTAGGTAGACTCATTCGGGGTAACTGAGCGCAGTGAGCAGTGAGGGTATCTCCCGAAGCTCTGGGGAGCTAGTCGCGACCTGGCTCTGTTGCCGGCGGTTGAAGAATAGATACTAGTAAAATTAAAAAAAATATGAATAATTCAATGCCCTTATGTCACAAGCTGATTTAAAAGTTCTTTTATTCCCTGACCAACTTGTTACTTGCCCCAAGTGTTAGTGCATGCGTTAACGTCAACAAGGCTTGTCATCGCAAATGTTAGCCCCTTCTGTTGCGATCTTGGTACTTGAACCCAGGACACGCGGCGTACTACTCTAATATGTTGTCTAAGTTAAATGGATAACAGTTTTTTTTTTAAAATAAGGTTCGTAATATTTTTTAGGTAATAGCTTCTATAATACAATCTGGAAAATTATTTTCCGCCAAATCTAAGTCTGATAGTCCGCTTTTGTGGCAATGGCATGACAAAATTTATTTGGGCGCAGCACACGGCGTTGCAGGAATATTGTATATATTGCTGCAGGTAAGTTGTATGCATATAAAATACTTCGACATTGTCTTAACGGATGGATACAAATAATACATATTTTAATTTATTTACCCCTCAATCCTCTTAAAATTCCCATGCAGTCGCATGCGTCCGTCAAATTCCGAGCGGTCGCATGCGACCGCACCTACCCACAGCACTTTAGACCATTAAAACTTATATTTATAGACTACTTTTCTGTAAAGAAGTTTGGCATTATAGAATCTATACGAAATTCTCTATTCTGTGGTCTAAACAAAAGTCAGTTACTCTATGTATTTTATTTTTATTCTCCTGTCAATTTACGACATTTGCCGATCATACGAAAATGGCGCAATTTAACGGTAGATTAAAAATAAAAATTCATAGAGTAACTGACTTTTGTTTAGAGTATAGAATAGATAATTTCGTATAAATTCTATAATGCCAAACTTCTTTAAAGAAAAGTAGTCTTTAAATATAAGTGTTAATGGTTAAAAGTGCTGTGGGTGGATGCGATCGCATGCGACCGCTCGGGATTCGACGGACGCATGCCATAAAAACTTATATTTATAGACTACTTTTCTATAAAGAACTTTGGTATTATAGAATCTATACAAAATTCTCTATTCTATAGTTTAAACAGAAGTCAGTTATTCAATGGATTAATCATTACAAAAATACTTTATTGTATTTTGATAACTACATACCAAGCGGATGTCGGTAGCGTGAAAATTACTATTATTTTTATATATTACTCGAAATTATTTGCGTAAAAAGATAAATTATATTCACACAAAAACTTTCATAACAATTTTATAATATAAAAAACTGTTCTGAACTTAGAAAAATCCAAAAATCAACGCAACAAAGTACAACAACGAACACTCGACAATGACGCACTTTGAATGTAGATTATAAATGAATATCTATGGACTAACTGAATTTTTATTCAACTAGAGGATAGAAAATTTCATATTGATTCTATATTGCCAAACTTTTTCATAGAAAAGTAATCTTTAAATATAAGTGTTTATGGGTTATAGTGCTGTGTGTGGGTTCGGTCTCATGAGAGCGGTAGGGATTTGACGGAATATGGCCGCGGTCTCATGAGACCGCTGGGGGATTGAGCGATTAAGCCTTAAGGTGGTGTGAGCACGTTACAAGTCGAATATTCGGCATATCAGTACAGCTAGCCGAGCAGCTCGATGACGAGCGCCAAGCACCCGAGCGGGCTCTACGCGGCTGTCTGTTTTTTTGGTGAATCCCTTTGAATGTTACAGTAAATCAGTCGCTAGCGCGAGCACCGTCGCGAGCGTACTTCTTAATCTGTTTGTATCGTGGTGTTTTTGCGTTTGGTGAAATGCAGTGCAGTCAGAAAAATCAATTTTTGTTTAATCCGCCAGCTTTATTTCTCATTTTGAACAAACTTCTTGTCCATGTATATGGGCCACAGCAACCACTTACCATCAGGTGGACAGCGTGCTCGTTTGTCAACCTATAACAATAAAAAAACCATAAAAACTTATTCTATTAAAAGAAAGAACGGTAACCAACCAGGAGCTTTTCGTAATGTAACATGGGTAAACGTGCTAACGTTTAGGTTAGGATAGGAAGAAGTTGGTGTGGTAACAAGGTGAAGAGGAGCGATTAACGATGCGCCTATCTGTCCGCAACTCTATCCTAATCCAAGGACGGTTTATTTAAAAACGGAATATTTATAAAAGACAGCGTTCACTTGTAGTTAGAAATGATCACGAATAGAAGTGAGGCCGGCATCCATTTTCTGTTAACGCGTCACACCTTCGCAAATGCTTGGGGGCCAATGTGAACACAAACTTCGCGCCTGCCGCTGCGCCGCTTCTGCGGGTTATGGACAAGTACTGTAAGATTATGAAAGAGCCATACACAAATTTATCAATGATTGCTATTGATTGAAAGTGTTGTTTATCCTGGGGGTTCATGCTCTCAAACAATACGGAAAACAAATACTACAAAAGTAAACAAACAACTCTGAATTTTCAGGCTCATTCATACATAAATCATCAAGACATGCATACATTTATCAAACCTACTCTGGATTGGTTGGCACTACAGCAGTTTCCTAGTGGGAATTTCCCATCTTCGCTTGGCAGCAGTTCTGGAGATAGATTGGTGCAATGGTGCCATGGCGCACCGGGTTTTGTACCCTTATTTCTTCTAGCTTATCAGGTAAATCTTAGTTATTCTGCTTTAAAAGCCTTTCTTAATCCTCTGCTAGATTTAGGCCTTATAAAGGACCACGTTGAATCATCTTTTTAGCCGACTTAAGTAAAAGTAAGTTTACAATTCGGCTTTGTCTTTTTGTATGTATGTTACGCAATATCTTCTTTGATATTGAACCGATTTTGATGCTTCTTTTTTATTAAATAGGTTATATTTCAGGGGTGTTCCCATATATATATATATATATATATATATATTTTTTTTTTTTTTTAAAGTAAATATTCCACCCATGGGTGGATGAAGTTTTTAATGGCGTCGAAAGAGTTTAAAACGACATTGAGATTGTGAAAAACAATTTAATGATTACATCTTAAAAATAATTAAATAATTTACATTCTCGAACAGTGATAAGACATAGTGTAGAAGAATTAAAGCCTCGACTTTTTATTATTTTTAGTTCTTTAATGTCGATGAAGTTTGAATAGTTCGTTAACGTTAATTTCTTAGGAGTTAGTGAGCACTGTACCAATGCACTCGCATTAGAAATACACCGTGTACAGGCGCAATTGGCTATATGATTAATAACCATTTTATAAGTTGGGGTTTTATAATGAAAAACTTGTAATCAAGAACCACATCATGCATCATGTTGACAATATAATAGCTCTTTTCAGACTTAACGTTTCTGTATTTCTCGAGACGTCGAGTGTACCTAACTAAACCATAAAAGAAACAGTTTTTTTACTTATTTTTTAATGCTTATTGATATCCAAAACGCTTTTTTATTATTTTAGATTTTCAAAGAAGAGGCATATTTAAAAATAGCGCTACGGTGTGGTGAAGTCATTTGGCAACGTGGTTTGTGTACTAAAGGCTACAGTATTTGTCATGGAGTTAGTGGAAACGCATACTCTTTCCTGTATTTATATCAAACGACTAAGGTGAGTTTATGTAAGTCGTATTTATGCAGGCCCAATTTTTTTGATAATAGCGTCATTCCATGTCAAATCAACACACTGATTCAGACTTGATGTCTCAGGTTTTCATGATTTTTTTATGCAGCAATATATCATAGACTTATTAAAAAATACCAAATTACAGGTTATGTAGCACAATTATTTTTGAAGTTATTAGTTTTTAGAGATTTAAATTTTTATGAAACACTTTCATGTTTTGGCACCTTTGGATGCCTATAGGCTGGCAACTAACGATGATATAAACCTGGAACGGCTCTCATTTTAAAGCTGTTAAATGGGGCTTTAATATGATATGTCACAAGACAGGGTTACAATAAAAAAAAATTTAAATTAAATTTTTTTTAAAGTGGCAATTTTAAAAATTTCAAAAAATTATCAAATATTATAGTTTATAATGTCTTAATACATGCAGCAAAATTCTATAATGGGATCTGAATGGAATCAAGAGATACAGGGCTTCAGAAATATTTTGTGAAATATACCAGAATTAGTATTGTTTCAGAAAAATTTAAATAGTTCATTAAATGAAACAAGCAATACATTACAATGAAACAAGCAGTTGGTATTACTTTACTTTTTTTTAATGCAGGAAGGTCACATAGACGCCATTAAAAATGTTAGAAAATTAATTAAATCGAGTAAAACAAATTAATTAATTAAAGTTAATGGTTAAAAAATTATTGTAATAAACAAATCAATATAACTATAACAAATTAATTAATTCGAGATTTCAATTGTTGCAAGATGAAGAATCATTTCACTTTGTTGCATATCAAATCTGCAAAAGGAATCCACAGTGTCCGCTTCCGCCTTTTGAAAGGGGATTTTCCCCTGAGGGAAATCCCCTTTTTGTCTGAGTAAAAGGGGCTCAGCTTCAGTTTTCTTTTCAGGATAGGTTTCCAAACATGGTAATTTAAAGTAATCATTGCGTCTTGTTAGTTCAGTAGTGTCCTGCACACTGCATAGCAATTAATTATTAAACTAATTTGGTACATTATTTACAAAACTTGTATTTCTGAAGCCCTGTATATCTTGATTCCATTGATATCCCATGATAGAATTTTGCTATATGTACTAAGACATTATAAACTATATTTGATAATTATTAAAAATTTTAAAATTGCCACTTTTAAAAAAAAATTAATTTTAAAATTTTTTAAATTTTCATTTTAAAATTGTAACCCTATCTAGTGGCATATCATATGAAAGCCCCGTTCAACAACTTTAAAATGTGACCACTCCCAGGTTTGTATCCTTGGTTGCCAGCCTATAGGCATCCAAAGGTGCCAAAACATAAAATGTTTCATAAAATTTAATTCTTTAAAAGTTGATAACTTCAAAAATAGTTGTACTATATAACAGAAATTTATATAGCGTATTGATGGTGTAAGAAAATCTACCCTGACTACCCTGTGCCATTCTGTGCGTGTGGTAAGAGGCGACAGAGGAAATTGAAATAGGAGATGGACAGCAGCATATTTCTGATAAAAAACTCAAAATAAAACGTGTATAGCCAAGCGTGGCAACAATGGCAGCTATCCCCTTACGAGGCAATCTATGGAGGAGGCTTATGTTCAGCAGTGAACTTCTGATAGGATGTAGTGGTGGCGGAACTTATCCTGCATGAAAAATTATTTGCCAGAGGTGTCCTACCATGGAGCTTAAGCTTTATTTTTGTGTAGAGTTAAAACTTCGGGGGAAGTTTTGGAAATCAATCGTGAACTTTTCACTAAGAATGCTTAAGGCGACTCAAACCAGACTCTAGGACAATGTTTCAGACTACAAATTATTGTCGTACTAGAGAACATGACCTTAAAATGTTACTCTGACAATGTGTCTCTCAAGAAATTTTTAAAGCTAGCAGTTCGCCATGGAGACTCCGTAAATCCATAGTTTAATAACCAGATATTAAAGGCCTTGTTTTCGATTAAATGCGTAGACTCCGACAAATATGTACCCACATAATTTTGGATATTTTGAATTTTTGTCCTATCAATATTTTGAATACATGCCCTTAATCGACGCGGCCAATCATCAATCGCAGCACGCACCACGCTCATATCTATTTCGGCCGCTGCTAAAGCCAAAGATGCTCCGAGAGATTCTAAATTCTGATGAGGTTTAGCGCAGACTTTTTTCTCCAAATGTTGCCATATCTTATAATCCAGTGGGCTTAAATCTGGACTAGAAGAGGTCTAGTCTTCATGTCCAATAAAGTCAATTCCATGGGTGGTCAACCAGTTTTGCGTGCTTCGTGTCCTATGAGCTGGTGCAGAGTCCTGTTGGAATATCCAATGTGTGTTTATGAACATTGTTTGAGAAAGAGGTTCCACTATGTTTGTTAGGACGGTATTTTGGAACACCTCGGCACTGGTTTTACATCTTTTTCGCAGAAAAACACCTTAGTTAAGCCTGAATATTAGACTCCAAGCCAAACCATGAGTGACGAAGGATAATGAGCTCGGGAATACGCGTGATGGCTTCTATACTGCTGTGGGCATTATCATTTATAATTTTGTTTATTATAACTTTCTTCGATCTTAAAAAATTTTCATCCGAAAACAAAATTTCGCGGTATTTTTCCCGCGTAGCGGGCCGTACCGTAATAAAGGGGCGTACCGTAATAAAGCGCGAGACTTATTCAGCCTAATTTTTTCAAACCCTCGTTCAAAAAATATCCACGCTTCTTACGATAAGCTCGTAGTCCTAAGTCTTCACTGATTACTCTTTTGACCATGGTTCTACTTAGGCCCATCTGAAGAGCTAAGATTTTTTGTTTACGAAATAATAATTTGATGATCGCGGGTGTCCTAACTGTACGAGGTCGGCCGGTCCTCTTACGATCTTCGAAGCTTGAATCTTCAGTGAATTGTTTGATGGTGCGATAAACAAATCGTAGGGTTATTTTCAATTTTTGTAGAATATTGAAAATCTCTTTTGGCGCGTAACCACAGCGGTATCTTCTTTCTTCGACCACACTCCATGGGGAGCGTTTAAGTATTACTTAACGCAATTTGGGGGAGGGGGGTCTTCTAAAACGTTAGGATGCGTTACAGGGGCAGGAGGGGGGGGGGTGTCCGAACAACGCTTTACGTAACACTATTTTAAATAAAAAACTAGGGAATTAAAATATCCCAAGTTGACAACCCTTTTCGCTTATGTTTTACGGGGAATCCCTTGACTGTATTGTACGTCATTTTTATTTTGTTTTTGTTGTCAGTATTCACTAGTGTTTACATTGTACAGTATTCACATTGCTGCAGTCAGTGAGTTCATAATGTAATGTCCTCAAAAGAGAAAGATTTGCATTATCAGATGTTCTTAGCCTATAAAGACTCATGTTGATTTGTCAGCGCTACTATGCCAAAAAAGTCAACGAAATTTGGAAGATAGCTATAGAAAAACTAAAACATAAAGAATAGTTTATACAACATAAGTGATTTTATACGAGAGTTCAAGGTGGGGACCTTCAAGAAAAGAGCTTACTCCTTTCTAAAGGGCCGGCAACGCACCTGCAATTCCCCTGGTGTTGCGGTTGATCATGGGCGGCGGTAGTCACTTAACATCAGGTGAGCCACATGCTCGTTTGCCCCCTCTTCTATAAAAAAAAAAAAAGGTGAAGGCCATGAAGAAACAACAATTCTTAGTTATTTTACACAGCTTATCTTACTGCTAAAATGTAATATCACATATAGGTAGGTAAATAATTTATATTGTTATAACAATGTATCAAAATAATAAAAGTACTTCTTATTTGTATTTTACTACGCCAGTTTTATATAAGATTTGTATGATTGTCTATGCATACTTTAAAAAATAAAACTGGTCTGTTAGCGACATTCACGTGTTTAATTAATTATATATATATATAAACCATTATTTCTATTACCGCAAGGGTAGCGATTTTCTGGTACTTTGTGACTTTTAGGTTAAAATGGACACTAGGGTGTTACGTACCCCCCCGAACGGGTTCCCGCCATCTCGTGGCGGGGGGTTTAGAAGCCGTGGCTTGGTCACCCACGGCGAAACAAAGAGGAACCCATATGGCTGGTCCGAGGTGGAGGGCCGGCCCGAGGTGGCCACTCCGAGTGGGCTTGGGAAGCCCACTTTGGATGTGTGTTGGTGGACTGCGGTGAGAGGTGTGTCCTCCCCACCTACCGCTGCAGCCGAGGTGGAGTCGCGGAGGAAGAGGAGTGTTGGTATGGCGATGCGCCACTCGCCTTATCCTCCGCGACTCAAACGGGGCCGCACCGTTGATGCGGTGGTGGTGGGCCTGCGGGGGGAGAGGATTGTCGGTATTGCGAGGCGCCGCTCTCCCTACCCTCCGCAGCCGAATCTTGGTTGGCGGCGGAGCCATAGACCAGATCCGCCGCTGGGGTCGGGAAGGCTAGTACTTCTAAGTGCTCGTTTTTCCTGGCCCCATGGCCTTTGTGCATGGGACGCGGGGGCGTCTGTTGCACAGACGTAATTGGAGGCCGTGGAGGAAGGCGCGCCATGTGTTCTGGTGCGCCTTACCTAGAAGGAGAACGGGGAGGAATTTTCCTCTCCCGAGGAGGTGCTGCCGTGGGGCGGCAGGCGCTAGTAGGGCCGCGGATGTGTGCGAAAGCGTTCCCGTAGCCCTGCCAATATGCGACAAAGGTGGAACACCATGGGGTTTTAGTCGGTGCGAGTCCGACATAACCCGTCCTTGCCCCCGCGAGGCGGGTATGCGTAGGCATTTCCCCATGTAACAAAAAAAAAAGGGTGTTACGTAACATTTAGAGAGGGCGGTACAGAAAAATGCTATGACGCGGTACATGGAGGGAGGGAGAGTCAAAAATCTTCAAAAATTGCGTTACGTAATACTTGAACGCCGCCATATTTGAAAATTAATGTCTTTTTAGGGTTCCGTAGTCAACTAGGAACCCTTATAGTTTCGCCATGTCTGTCTGTCCGTCTGTCCGTCCTCGCTTAATCTCTGTGACCGTTAGCACTAGAAAGCTGAAATTTGGTACCAATATGTGTATCAATCACGCCGACAAAGTGGTAAAATAAAAATTGGAAAAAAATGTTTTATTAGGGTAGCCCCCCTATATGTAAAGTGGGAAGTGATTTTTTTTTTAATTTCAACCCTAACGTGTAATATATTGTTGGAAAGGTATTTAAAAATTAATAGGGGTTTACTAAAATCATTTTTTTGATAATGTCAATAATTTCGGAAATAATCGCTCCAAAAAAAAAAAATAATGTGTCCCCCCCCTCTAACTTTTGAACCATAAGTTCAGAAAATATGAAAAAAATTTGATAAGTAGAACTTCATAAGGACTTTCTAGGAAAATCATTTTGAACTTGGATGGAAACAACAGTTTTTAGTTATCACCGTCCTTTGTGGGCCCGTTTTTAGTGTTCCGTAATTATTAGAGTTCCGTAACAAATAGCCTTTTAAGGTTGAGTTACCACTATGTTCGCGCTCCAGCAGCGCTCCGCGCTTCTGCAACTGCTCCAATGGATACGTCGCGCGCACTTCTACATGCGCTCCCCTTTGACACACTGCGCTCCCCTTTGTGTTCGCGCTAAAAACCATCACGAGTCGGAGCGCCTGCCGCGGAGCGTGCAATGTTGCACGCTCCATGTTCGCGCACGTACCCACTACCGGGTGCAGTTGCAGGAGCGCGGAGCGCTGCTGGAGCGCGAACATAATGGATACCCACCTTTAAACTCATAAGTGGGAACACTTATTGTGACGGACGGGAAACTACGGAACCCTACACTGAGCGTGGCCCGACACGCTATTGGCCGGTTTTTTATTTTCGGCAAGCGCAAACGTTATATTTTTAAAATTGGTGAAGATCGATTGAAATGATCTGTCAATCCGTCTCGCTCTTAGATAAAAGTAGCGTCAATATCTATCTCGCTTAGGTACACTTAACAACGTAACGTCACATCTGTCTCGCTCACACTAGACAAAATAATGTCACTCTTAGTTTCAATCGATCTTGTTGAAATTCGCAATTAGCAAGTGTCATACTACTTCCAATTTTTTGGAATCCAAATTAAGCGCGCCATCCTTTAAATTTCCTTGCCAAAATAGTGTAGTACATTTTTTTACAGTACAGTCGGTCAAAGTCGCTTGATGTAATTATTTTGAATTCAATGTTGAGCAAAAATATTTAAAACTGAGGCAGTTATGTTTTAACTTTTAACTGTAATTTACAGAAGTGTTATTCATGGTTACATCGAAAAAAAAACTGACGAAAAGTTCATATGTGTAGTCACGGGACTTGAAAGGTCATCACAGGGTGTCAGTTTTTGAATCGTTATAATTTGAAAAGTACATGACCAAAGTTTTTATTATATTTTTCTAATAACTGTCACGACTTAGCCTATTGCCCGTTTTCGGCTTGACGTTGTTTTACTAGTTATGTTAGTTTGTAACTATTTTTTGAAGACTGAAGAAATAAATAATAATTTTTTTCAGGATCCCCTACATTTGTACCGAGCCTGTCGTTTCATGGAATGGTGCGTAGCGGAAAAGGACGGTACCGAGCTTCATACACCAGATAGACCAGCATCATTGTTTGAGGGTCTACTTGGTCGGTTGTATTTAGCAGAAGATATTATTCGCCCCGATGACGCCAAGTTCCCCGCTTTTACATTGTAGTTCTGTTTAACCTAATGTAACCTGTTATTTTTCAGTAATAGATCTTTTTACCACAGTTCATGCTTTTCTTTTATAATGTGCCACCAATCTTTGCTTTTTCAATCAGTATAGAGATTATAGGCTAGAGGCTTATTTTATAATTGTGAAAATACATCTGCTATTTTAGACATCAAAATAAAAATAAAGAACATCATAAGGAGTTGAAACCAAAGAGTATATAATCACTACGTATTATCTTTGAAACATTACTTTCAGCAAGATAATGTTTCTTTCAATTCTTTGAAAAAAGAAAATAGAATTTAATAAAGTTTTTTTTATTTATTTAATAATTTATGTACACACATCCTTTAATAGGAAAATGACAGAGATTGTGCGAGTAAGGAAACTCCTAGTAAAACGCACAGTAGTGGACCGCCAAGCATCTAAGTGGTGTGTGGATAGTATAGTTTGTTTTGTCGCGATGTGCGTTCGTGAAATTTAGCGGCCGGAATCAATCTGAACATTTCCTCAAGACAAGCACTCCCCGTGGATCTACCACGGGGAGTGCTTGTCTTGAGGAAATGTTAACACGTTAAAAATGTAATGCAGAATCCCTTCGCAACGCCAGTGAATCGGTCGTAGACAATTTGAGACCTTCTATGTGCTGGATGCGGTCAAGTGGAAGGAGTTGGCACTGGGGTGCTCCGTCCCAGAGGTAAGACCAATATTCCATGTAAGTGGCATATCCCAAAAAACTGCACGTAGAAATCTATCAGTAGCTGTCTTGTTTGACGTAGGCGTCTACTAAGAAATAATTTTGGAAATTTAACCCTAAGTATGAGGGTTGTTACCGTGTAGTTGCAGTGTAAGAATATCCACTGCCCCACATCACTCCGTGGGTGTCGTAAGAGGCGTCAAAGAGAAACAAATCAGGAGTGGGCAGCAGTGTCTTCCTAATAACGACCAAAAATAAAACTGCAGTTGTCAACCCGCTTGCTATGCGTGGAAACTATAGCAAATCAATTGTGGCAATCCATAGGGGAAGTCTATTTGCAGCAGTGGACTTTAATAGACTGATATGATGGACAGCTCAAACCGCAGGACGTAGAAGAATGAAATTGTGCCTATAGTTTGGTTTTATTACGTTGGCATTAACTAAGATAGGATTTTGAAAAATTCAAACCCTCGGAGGGTGAAATAAGGTGTTATAGTTTGTACGACACCTTTTACTTTACGGGGCGATTGACTCAAAACTTACTATAAGTATTTTGTTGATAAAATAAAAGAATATTTGGTTTTAGATTTATCAAAGCAAACCCCTTACCTCTTTCCTTTAAATTACTCAACCACGCAACGGATTTTGATACGATTTTCACTGTCATTTACAGATTTTTTAATGGAAAATTAGTAAACAAATAAAATATGTTAGTCAACCTTACCATTTCATAAATAATATTATTCCTTAAATTTTATCATTTAAATGAACACTTTAGAAGATATCACAGATTCAAAATTATGAGCAACCAAAATACTATCACTGCTAGCCGGCACGACGCCGCCGCCGCGGCCTCCTATGTTGTCAGCAAATGAAAACCGGCATTTTGAAGAGTTGTTGATCAAAGGGCATATGCCGCAAAACAATGGAAGCATTAATCTTGACAAGGAAATTCCTTGCATTTTCGAAAATGACCTTCAGGGATTGGTAGACAAAGTTTATCACAATATAACTATCATTTTCAGTATAACGTTGCGGGAGTTGAATGTATTTCCAATAAACAGCTATACAACATGTAACAAAAACCCTGTGGTTCCCGTTAACTGCGTTATCAGAATCAGTATCCGAACATATAGAAATATTTTTTTTTAAAAACACGTAAAAAAATTAATTTTGATGGAAAAAATAATTTGCAAATTGTATGTGGTTTTATGATCTCTGCATTGGCCGAGGAGTAAAAGGATTGTCAAAGACCCCGCAGTACCGATACTCGTGTAAGTTAGAGATAATAAAACCACATACAATTTCCAAATTAATTTTTTTTCATCAAAATTAAAAAAAATTAAATGTGTTTTTTTTTTGAAAAAAAAAAATATTTCTATATGCTTGGATACTGATTCTGATAACACACTTAACGGGAACCACAGGGTTTTTGTTACATATTGAATGTAGCCCTTCCGCGGGCCACTTACAGACAAAATCTGTTCGTATGAAGTCATCTGTATATAAAGACATACTGTGTAATGATACAACCTTGATGTTTAAGGGAAAATATAATCTCAAATGGCATAGCAAGATCCTTCGTTATGCCGAAAATATTGCAGCATTAATTTTGAAATAAATATATGGTAAAGTTGAGAATTAATGTTAAGGATTATGTTAGACGAAAACACGATTTCGTAAAATTTTCTCGATAGAAAAAAAATCCAAAGTTACCTCCAAAATAAACAATAAACCGACCGCTGTTATTCATAAAATACTATAAATAAGATCATGAAACTTTGCATACTAACTGAACTAACTATAAAGCAATGCTTATGTTATTAACTTTTTTTTAAAATACCATTATTTTCACTGTAAAAAGAAATTACCTAAACTATCGGCCTTTTGAGCGTGATTTCTGCCGCACGGTCACAACGCTTCGGCCTTTGAACGGGGATGTTGTATCGCTTACGATCAGAATATACATTACGCAACAGGACGACGTAAAATTAAAATGGGAAATAAACGTAATAAAAATAAGAAGCGACTGGCTTGGCGTTAAGAAACAGGCATAAATATAATAAACCTAATGAAATAAGTGTCTAACGACCTTTCTACTTACAGTATTAGTGATTACAAACAAGTCGGTACATAGCATACGACGGGCGGGCAAGTGGGGACGAAATTAGAATTTGAGCTGACTTACTCTATCCCCTTAACAACTAAAATTACTCAAAGTTGTAAAATCTGTAAACCGTGGACAAATTTGGATCTATCTCACGATAATTTATTGTTAGCAATTAGGGTAAAAAAATATCAGGAAATAAGTGTAGAACTATCATCTCCCACCCGTTCTAGCAGTATAAAGTATCGCGCAGGCAACTAAATCTAAACCTTTCAGCTCGAGTTGCATAACCGCTTTCAGTGCCTAGAAGATAGCAATGCAGTGGACGATATAAATGACAAGCTCGTGGAAACTGTCCATGCGGTCAGAGCTAAGTTCTGCAAGACCCGTCGCAGAAGAACAGAAACTCTCCGATCACACTCTTAATCTCATGGCTATTAGACGGGAGATGAGGCTGCAATCGTCAACAGATTTGACAGCATACAGGCAACTAAAGTTGCGTAAGTCTCGCCGCATGCATTTGGAGATCTGTCTGATCTCCAAATGCTTGCGGCGAGACTTACGCAACTTTAATACTGCTCGTATTGAAGAAGCGATCGAGCGGAACCAGGGCTCCAAAGTCTTTGCCAGAGATCTGTCTGCCAGAAAGAGCCAACTGTCAAAGCTGAAGACTGTGTGTGGCAGCATCGTTTCCGGGACACCTGATATTTTGAGTGAGATTGAGAGGTTCTATGGGCAGCTGTACACATCATCGTTGGAGCCACACGCAAGTGTGAGTAACGATCCAAGAGCAAGTCTTATCCCGGACGTCAGTCTGAGCGAGATAAGAATGGCTCTGCAGCACTTTAAAAACGGCAAGTCCCCGGGCGAGGATGGAATTACAGCGGAGCTTTTGAAAGCGGGTGGAAAACCCGTACTTGAAGTCCTTCAGAGGCTCTTTAATTCCGTCCTCCATGGTGGCACTACTCCGGAGGCGTGAAGCAGAAGTGCGGTGGTCTTGTTCTTTAAGAAAGGCGACAACGCTCTCTTGAAGAACTACAGACCGATTTCCCTTCTGAGCCGCGTCTACGTGCTGTTTTAAGAGTCATTATGAATCGTCTCGCACGCAGACTCGACGACTTCCAGCCTCGAGACCTACCATATACCACATACATACCCTACGGCAGATTGTATAGAAGACCGAAGAGTACAATCTGCCACTTTGCCTGGCGTATATGGACTATGAGAAAGCCTTTGATTCCGTCGAAATTCAGGCGGTGCTACAGTTCCTTCAGCGGTGCCAAGTTGACTGTCGGTATATCGAAGTGCTGAAGTGTTTGTACAGTAGGGCAACGATGGCTATCCGAGTACAGAACCAGCGTTCGAAACCTATCCAACTGCAGAGAGGTGTAAGACAGGGTGACGTTATATCCCCGAAACTCTTCACCGCCGCATTGGAAGACGTTTTCAAGCTACTGGACTGGAAAGTGTACGGTATTAACATCAATGGCGAGTACATCACTCACCTTCGATTTGCCGACGATATAGTCCTTGTGGCAGAATCGCTGGAGGACCTAAGCACTATGCTCAATGACCTCAATGGTGTCTCCCAATGGATAGGTCTTAAGATGATCATGGATAAAACAAAGATCATGTTTAATGTCCACGTCACACCTATGCCGGTAGTTGTTGAGAGTATTATGCTCAAAATTGTTGACGAGTACGTTTACCTGGGACAAATAGTCCGACTAGGTAAGTCCAACTTCGACCGAGAGGTCAATCGACGGATTCAACTCGGCTGGGCAGCTTTCGGGAAATTACGACATATCTTCTCGTCAGGTATACCTCAATCTCTGAAAACTAAAGTGTACAACCAGTGCGTGTTGCCAGTGATGACTTACGGATCTGAGACGTGGTCCTTCACTGCTGGCCGTATGAGGACCCTCAAGGTCGCTCAGCGAGCTATAGAGAGGGCTATGCTCGGAGTTTCTCTGCGTGATAAACTCAGAAATGAGGATATCCGCAGTAAAGCCAGAGTGACCGACATAGCCCAACGGATTAGTAAGCTGAACCTCTCAACTCTCAACCACATGGATTGAAAAATGCCCGAGAATATTGAGTCAGTCTGGTTAGAACACCTTTAATTTTGCTGCCATGTTCGCACCATTATTGTACCCTTGACCTCGACAATCATTAATGTCTAAGTCGAACACTTTCACA